AATCAAATATTTAAGATTGAGATTTAAATTTTGTTTTCCTTACTTGTCATTATAATCTTAATCTATTTTATTATTTGTTAATATAAATTAGAAAATAACTATTAAGCATTCTAAATAAGATGAGATCATATTTGTTAGTATATTAAATAGTAATAATCTATATTAAATAAATATAAAAATAAAAATATATTTTCTTTAATGGAGGCTCACTGTAATACCCTTGATTAGTCCCACATCGAAAAGTAAACAAGATTAAGATTGACTTATAAGGGTCTGATGAGTGTATTATTATTAACTTTAGCTTATACATTTTGATTAGTGATTTAAACCAAACAAAGTTGATAGGCTGAGTCTTGATATGCCGAGCTCCAAGAAACCCCTTTTCTATTATTTGAAGCACCTTGATATGTGAAGTGTCGAGAAAAGTGAAATACTTTCTCATGAGCACTTGAACATCGGAGAGGACTTTTTGGTTCGAGACATATGGGCAACGACAAAGAGGGTTGATCCTTCTTGGTCAACTTATTCTTTTTCATCTTTCTCTTTTTTGTTATAAGGGATCTGACAACAATATATTTATTTACCTTATGTAACCATTCTTTGGATATAGTCGATAACTTCATGATGACTGACCATGATAAATGTAAGGGATATAAGTTGTTGATAAAGGCTTAGATGAGGATCAAATGATAGGCTTCAAACACCATCTTGGCTTCATTATTGAACTTGGAAGGTAGTCAGATGGAAATTCCTTTTCCCCTCGACAAACAACTAACATGAGGTTATTATCTTCTTCGACAAGTTGTAGTTGACGAAATTCGAACTCCCACTAACTAACCGGAGGAACTGATAAAGTTGGAAGTAAGGCAAGAGTATCGATCTCTTGTATTCTCATTGAGAGGTGTGGGCAAGGACCAATACATAAGGGCATCAGTTATCACACATATTATCATCTATGCAACAGACAAAGGGACTTGCCATCTTGCATGTTGCAAGTTCGGTGATTGAGCAATGCTTGCTTTCAACTATTTACCTACTTTGATACATTGGCATGGACTTTGTTAGAATTATCTAAATGGTCGATAAAAATTTTAATAGAAGGACATGCCATCTTGTCATAGTGTAAGTTCGATTATTAAGTAAGGCTTGCTTTTAGTTGTCTACCTACTTTTGTATTAGTCATTGACCTAGTTAGAATTATCTAAGTTACAAGACACCCAAACAACATCAACTTGAAAGGGTTAGCCTAAATTTCAATCTCGTTCGATTCCTAAGGACCTCTTAAAGAAGAAAAGAGTTAGTTTAATAGGTGAACAATGGGCAAAATATCGTTATTATCCGAAAAGTACACAGAACAAATAGTTGAAAGTAACAAGAACTTAATTATCCTTTAAAAGAGTCATAATTTCAAATAATAGTTAGGGTTGTAAGTTATCAGAGAATATTACAAAGTCTCACAAGTGTACAAAGGTATCATTTTATGGCCTTTAAGTTGTCGAGGCTCTCTAACTACTATACCAAAGTCCCATTTGGTCTAATGCCATCTATATGGTTCATGGGTAATTAGATAGGTAACATTTTGTCAACCTCAGATTGCTGTTGATGAATGGAATGATATATAGACTATTCATAACAAAAAATGTCATATCACCCATCATGAAAGTATATATTATGAGTGATAGATATGCATCTACCATACCTTGGATCTCATTTATGAACCGAGCAACGAAGTCTGCGAGTGTTTCTTCTTCTCCTTGCTTGAGTCCAATGAGTGTTACCACTAAAGGACACGAGCGAATGTTTTTGAGGAAGTGAAATTCGAACTCCCTTATAAGCTGGGTAAAAGAACTAACAGAAAGTGACTTTAGGCAGCCATATCATTCTCATGTTGGGCCTCTTAGTGTAATTGAGAATGTGAGATACGTCAAGTCGTTCAAAGTGTCATGCAATGATAATATTTGGGTGTGAAAAGCTGTAATGTGCTCCTTCATTTCATTGAATGCCTCCACGGATGGGAGATGAAAGTTCGCTGAAATCAATTCATGTTGGATTTTCTAGGTGAACGACAATCGATCCATGGTGGAGTTGACCAATACTTCCTCCTTTGAATATTGGAGTTGTCGTCGCTTTTTCTCCAAACGTCAATCGATCTATTACAATTGGATATGCAAGAAATCCTCTGTCAAGTCCATTAATTGGGCCTCAGATTCAAGCAGGGCAAAGTGGTGGTGCACGTCCACTGAATTTCGTGGTCGGGGATCAAAGTACCCCCTCAACCAATGATTCGATAAGTCTCGAACACTCTTAGGATGTCAGCACCACGTTGGGTCGAGAAATCTCGACGAGTACCGGTGGTGGTTAAGCCGAGGATCGTTGTTGAGTTGGTGGCACCGCATATTGGGTTAACTGGGGCAAAAGCGAAGAGACAACCTATATCATGCCTATTAGTGTTTGCACTTGCTAAGTGAGGTTTAAAAACACATCGACAGGGACAAGTGACTCAAGGATGTCCTTAGGGGTGAGAGAACCGAGTCGTTGAATAGACGCTAGTATTGCATCGATGTCTACGTTGAGGTGGATATACTCATTTACAGAAAGAGTAACTACTATCCCCCTTGAGTGAAAGTAATGTGTGCCAAAAGTAAAACCTCCTCGCTCGAGCATTTATTGAGAGGGTCTACAGATTGGTGTTCCTACAATATCGGGTTCTCTTTCTAGCATAAAAAAATGTTATGAGAAGATACCATTGATATCTTGGTCAACCCAACATTATCTGGACTCTTATGCGACGGGTTATCTGAGGTGCCTCCGAGATGAAAATACCAAGCCTCTAAAGTGCCACCTACACGAAGACCAAGGCCGAGAAAGGTTTCTCAATCCGATCATTTTGATACCTAAGTTACTAACCCAAGATAAGTGAGTGTGAACAAGAGTGGTCAAAAAGTGATCTCCCATCTTGTATTAAAAATAAGATTTTATACTTAATCAATATTTTATAAAATATTTTATAAGAAGATAACCTCTAACAACCCAAGACAATTGCCCAGGACCCTTGTCCGATAGACAGATGAATAGTGACTTTTATCTTCTCCTTCCAGCTTAAAAATCATAGATAGATCACGTGTTGAATGACAATTAACTTATAATGTTCTTCTTATCAACACCTTGATCTAGGATATTGACAATCACAATCGAAATATAAATTAAATATTTTAATTAAATGTTTTTTCCGCAAACGATCTTTTAACTATTGACTATAAAAGAGTCCCTCCGAAGGTGACACTCTCATTTTTTTTTCGAGATTTCATTAATGCATCTCCGTATTAATATCTCAATCCATATCAGATACTTGGGCATCAAAGTTCCTAGCAGAAACCTTCTCAATGGCGACTTTTTCTTTTTTCTTGCAGAACCAAGTGCCGAAGCCAAAGTTGATCCTAAGTTCCCGACAACCTTTCTGTTGGACGGTTCTCGGAGTGTACCTACCAAGAGTTAGGAACTTGCCCCAAGTAGCGACAACCTTTCTGTTGGGCGGTTCTCGGAGTGTACCTACCAAGAGTAAGGAACTTGCCCAAGTCGAGACATCTTCAACGCTGAGACTGACAACCGACCATTTGGTTGACAGGAATGAAACATGGTGTCTCCTCTAGCAACCCGCTGCATGTTCTTAGCATATTGACCAAGTCGGGTTAGGCTTGGATGAAATGTTTGATCGTATCTGTTGTTAGTTTGGCAAGTCCCATAGTCCCACATCGGGAAAATCAGACTTGTTGTCTCGTCTTGAAACTATAAATAAAGGCCTGAGCTTTGATGTTAGACACACCACGAGAAGTACTACAGACACCACAAGAAGTACAGCAGGCATCACAAGAAAACCTACTTATGGTTTGAAGTCTTCTTGTTTAGGAAGCTGAAGGTGTTTTATGGCCTAGGAACATTTCCTAAGGCATTTGTAAGTGTCCCTCTTTTATAATAGTAATTTGCTCCTTTTTCTTCCGTGGATGTAGGTCAAAGTCAATTGACCGAACCACGTATATTTCGCTTTATTCTTTCCGCTTTATTGTCTTTGTTGTGTTGCCAAAATTATCCTTTGGTAAATATCCTGGGGCTAGCTCTAACAAACTGGTATCAGAGCCTGGTTCTGGGATCTTTTGGCAACAATGACAATATCAAAGATCGTTGTCGAGAAATTCGACAGAAATGTCAACTTCGGCATGTGGCAACTCAAGATGG